CCCACGGATGGAGGGCTTGTGGCATGCTCTGTCAAAGGATTCGTACCTAAGGAAAGATGTAGACATGAGTTTGTTGAGTGAAAGTGCACACTACATTGACTTAAGATTCATGGAATGGATTATAGAAAAAGTCAGAATTTAAAAAGTGAGTAATCATGTTCATAAAGCTATGCATTCATGTAAACCAACCTGTATTTGAAGGTGACCGCTCCACCAAATCTGATGAATCAAACAGCTGACTAGTGTTCGCTGAAGCATCCACGGCTTGCTCTGAGATAGGACTCGGGCCTAGGGAAAGATGTAGACATTTTATTTAATCATTTGCCATGGCATATAGGTCCCATGAGCAAAGGCTTGTACAAGGGGACAGTTAAATTTATAGATGTATAATACAAGGGGAGAGGATATGAGTTTGTTGATCAAAAGTATACTAAAATTAATAAGATTCAGTGATTATAGATTAGATAGATCAATTAGGTTAGATAGATTAGATTAGTTAGTTTAGATACATTATAGAGATAAGGTTAGATAGATTAGATAAGTTAGTTTAGATATATTTTATAGATTAGGTTAGATATATTAGATAAGTTAGATTAGATGACGAAGATGTGTGGATGACCCTCATCAATAAATGCTGCACTGTCTTAAAGGTAAAACCTTGAAAAGTATGGAGTTATCACTATGTTCACTCTGAAATACAAACATGGTCTTTGAATAAACTTACTTCTGTTCATAGGTGTTTGGAAATCAATGTCAAAGAAGCTGCCTCGAGGACTGCTGCTGAGCCATGCACCTGGACAACATGAAGGAGATATTATTTATATTAATTTACAATATGTATCCTGAAAATTTTACTTCAACCCTAGAAGAAGAAGTAGAATTTCCCAGCTGTGTTTGTGTGAGTATATTAGACGTTAAATAATGTGTCTTACCTGGAGGAGATGGCGCAGCATCCTCAGCAGGGCTTCCTGGGCTGTTACAAAAATTAGCAATTAACACATTGTTATTGGTTGCAGTTTTGCTTTGCATTTTGGGGACGGCATACTTACTCATCACAATCATCACAATCAGGTTCTGGAGAAATAATCCTCAGCCTTCTTGTTCTTCTGGGTGGAGTGATGTTTGGTAGATTTGCTGGCGAGGCTGAGGGGACCTCATTGAGGGCCAACACTTCTTCTTCAGTTGGTCTGCCAACGACACTCCAATCAATACAAACTACAAACACTGGTAAACAAAACCCCTTTGTCATTGCTACTTACATATTGTCTGGATGATCCTCCTCTGTCGTTTCTAGGACCAGCAACACATTCTGGAGTGTTGTCTGCACAGCAGAGAGGAAGTCTATGTGGTCCCTGTTTCTTTTGAATAATTCCAAATGTCTTTGTATGTCAGCGTCCGTAAGTCTTTTGTCTGGGGCCACATAGTACTTGCTCTTTGTTAGCTTTCCCTTTCCAAATCTAAGTTTGTCAAACCTTTGAAAGGTTTCTGCAGCATAGTCACGCAGCAGGTCTGAAATAAAGTGCATTGATATAATTACAATCTCAGCAGGTTACCATTTCAACCATGTAAATCAATATTGACCAAGGTTTATTAAAGTAAATAGCAAAGATGAGAATGAGACTTACCAAGGAAAATCCAGAAATGGGGATGCTTGGTGGGCACTAGGTCATTGACCCTCGCATTGACTGATTCCAGCCCACTGGTAACGGTGATATTTTTTTCATGAACTGAGAGAGTACTCGGGGACACCCTGTCTAGCCATTCCTCTTGAAAGTACTTGAACAATTTCCTCATCTTCCGCAATTTGTCAACATCAAGGTATTTCTCTGCTTCGTTTTGAACTGCTTTAAAACCGTTCTCGATCTCCTCTGCTGGGAGGCGGGGGATAACCAAGAGCAATTTGATGATGCGAGATATCTCTCTATGAGTTTTTCCTTTTTTCAGGTAGCGAGCCAGCCCCTTTTTTTTTGCTTGCCTGTACAATGCCTGTACAAATGGAAAATACAGATTAGTTTCAAATAATTGTAGGTCCAGTGATCAAAATATGAGTAATAATGTGGAAATACTGACTCTTTGGTAGTGGAAGAGGCAACCCCACAAGACAATGCTTGGAAATGCATTCTTCCATGCCTTCTGCTCCCCCTTCTCCCAGTCAGTACAGACAAGTTTGGCACGCAAGCCGAGCTCTTTCAATTTTTTGAAAACTGCCTCATATGCTCCAATTGTCTTGCGTGTCATAACGGCATATGCAAATGCAAATACCTTGAACAAAATTAATGGTATTATTCTTAGGTTTCAGGGATTTTGTCTGACGGAAAGTGGTACCAGTGCAAATGATGCCAAGTTAAACACAGGTGTGTACTGGCCCACACTTAACAATGTGAGTGAACTCTAGAGAAGTAGCAAAATCTGTGCACTTACCTGACCATAGCCATGGAAAGCCACGATGAGGACCTGTTTCGCACCTAGCATCCGTGGGCAACAATAGAAGGTTGCATCTGACAGCAGCACACTACTTGATCTCACAAATTTCATGAATTCGGTGTCAACAAACAAAAGTGATTCTTCCCCAGGTTTGCCCACCATACCCTGGAAGAAGTCAGATGTGTCATCTGAGTTGCGTGCTGTGGAATAAAAACAATCAGTTAGGGAGGTAATTTGAAGAAATCTTGAATGAAAGGAAAAGACTATTGCATACCAAGATATGCGAACTCAGGCTGCTGGAGACTTAAAGCAGCTTGTCGCAAAGTTGTCGGAATTGGAGGCATATTTAGGTTCCTGAGGCGGCTGACAGCCTTCTTGATGGACTCAGGCTCCAAGTATTCCTTCAGGGTTCTGTCCTCCAAGCTGTCGACAAAGAGGTAAAGTATACTGTTAATTAGGGCCACAACCCGTTTCACAAACTTTTTGGACCTGAAGCCTGACTTCATCTGATCGTATAGAGTACAAAGCCCGTATGTGAGCTTATAGGTATTTAGATTAGATACGTTTTAGTACAGTTTGAACTTAGCCAGAAAAAAAATGCTTCAGTGTGACCAGCAGCTACTGTATTAGTCCAGTAAAGATAAATTGGTATTGAAGAAACTGACTGTACTCACTTGTCACAATAACTTCGAATAATATGAGCCAATGATGTTGATTTTTGGCGAAGACACATATTAATCAGCTCTTCTCTGTGCCTTAGGTACGGCTCGTGGAGAGGGTCCTCTGGATCGTGGTTGTGCTGTATTTTATTAGCCGGCTCAAGATCCTCTGGGCTCAACCTATCAGCACAAGCACGAGTCTTGCATGGTGGCTGCTTTCTTGAATTTGCGCATCGATAATACAGGGTATCCTTCCATTCACTGTCCTTATAGAATTTGAAGCCACCCATCCTGTACACTCTGCTTTCGCTTCTTTGTCCAACATAAGATGGCCCGCCATGTGGTGCTGTTGGGATGGCAAGACTTCGCCCCCCATACCGTCCACGGGCACCTCCCGCCCTCAACATACCTCCTGACATGGTGAGTGACTGGTAGAGACTGAGCTGCAGGGAAGGTTCCCCTCCCTCCTCGCCTCTCTTTTTCTTCTTCACCCCCCCCC